GCACACACATTGAACCATATTTTTCTCTAAACCTTAGACCTTGAAAAAATTAACAATCAATTTTGGAAATAATGCTTGCTATTCATTTTTTCAAAACCAGAGACCCCGTGAAATAAATTATCGCACCTACCTCCAACCAATTGGTAGAAAATCAATAAATTCCTTTTCGGACGTGATTCATCCTTTCTGAATGCAGCATACAACCCCCCGTTGTACTGCGCTCTCCAAATATCCAAATCAACTAACTTTATTGAGAAAGATTACTATTTTTTAGGTCAAAGGGTTGATAAAAAGAAATATATCACTAACTTAAACTAACTAAAATAGAATTTTACAATTTTTTATTCTTACTTATTCTGAGGCTTTCCTAAATACTTCAAATATTCAAATCACGAAATCACAATTGGTCAAATAATATGACTAAATTGCTAGTAAAATGTGAATACGCCCAACGGAGTGCTTTCGCTGTTGGTGTTCTTTCCGATCTCTAAGCATTTCACCGCTCCACCGAAAATTCCCTCTGCCTCTACCGATGGTAGCTTCTCTTGAAGAAATAACGCTTCTCTATCTAAATTGATTCATTTATGTCGATAAACTCCAATTGCATCATAGGAATTACAACCAAAAAAAAAATTTAATTTTTTGAATGGATGATCTACTCGACATGTTCTGCAAGATGAAAAGTTTGAATTATCGGGACAGGCCCCAAGTGAGCCCACAGTGGGCAAATTGCATGGTGCAATGCAATCCACAAAAGATGCACTACGGAGAAATTGTTCACTTTAGGCAATATTAAATTTACTAATTAACAAAAACTTAACCCTGTTGATGACTAAAAATAAAATTTTACCTGGTGGGATTGGTTCCGAGATAAGTCGAGATCCGCATAAGTTAGTCTAGACACCTGATTATAAAAAATAAAAATAAAAATAAAAACATAACAAATAATCGAAACAAAGAAAAGCACCCAAAAAAAATAATAATAATGTGTAGTCCAAATTCATTTTAATTGTGGGGATATATTTTCTGAGTACCAACACGTGGCCAAGACGACGCCGACATATCAACTGAGGTGCCACGTATCCTGGTTGCGACACCGAGGTGATCTCGACTAGGCCGAGGTTATCTCCGAAGATATCGGAACCCGGGATAAGCAGATAAGGGACAAGAGTCCTAGAATGAGGAAGGGCTTCAGCCTGGATAGGGATAAAACTCTTAAGGAGTTTATCTTTATCTATTGGAGCGTTCAAGATAAGCACTGAGCAGAAGTCCATTGGAGCTAGACTTCTATTGGGACTGGGATTGAATTAGCTATAAAAGAGGGGCACCCTCATGGGTCTAAGGTACGCAATTTATATTCTGAATAGTGAGTTAAGCACTTTTGCTATCTTTAGGAGATAACTGACTTGATCGTCGGAGTACCCCCGGGTGGACGAACTACCGCGGGAATCTCTTCTTTTTGTGACAGGTCATTTGGGCTTAATCTGTTCTGCCAGTGTTCTTCAACTGAGTGTTTGATTGGCAGTGTGGTTGGAAATTGACACACACATTAATCATGAACTCCATCGTACAAAAATTAAATTTAAGCCACATACTTTTTTTCTTTTTCTTTTTTTCTTATACTTTGCTATTTCTGAATTCTTTATCTCTAGCATTACTCTATAATTAAACTTTAATAAATAAATAAATAAATCATTGCTATGTTAGTGAGTATGGTTAATAGCATTTTCGGTCATAATAATTGTTAGGTTTTATTCTTAGCAACCCCGTTTGACAAAACTCCTTTCAGTCGTATTTATTTTTGCACATTTATTTCAATGAGGCTATGAGTGTTTAGATGCGAATCCAACCCGAATTGTGCCTTTTAGAGAAGTTTGTGATGCTAATGTTTTCAAAATGCAAAAATGCATTATAAGTTGCCTGTCCACTCGAGCGGACATTACCCCGCTCGAGCGGAGAATGCTAGGTTTCAGAAGTTTGTCAGGTCTGTAAAAATACTAGAAGGTGTGATTTCACGCTCGAGCGGGTTCTCCAACGCTCGAGCGGACCTCTGTTATATCACGCGCATATTTT